TCAATTATTCCATTCATCTGTCTTAGATATTTCAGCTGGGTGGATGGTCGACGAAGGGTGAACTCGTCTGTGAAGCATTCTAGTATGTTTGGAAAGATAACCTGACTAATTGGTTTCACTGGTGTACATTGTTTAGTTGGAGTAGCTTGTTCCTCAATTTTCTTTTTCTTAGATTTTCTCTTCTCCCAATAATTCTTCAACCTTGCATTAGATATACCTTTGGGCCTACACTTTAGTGGGTATTTTAATTTTTTTGTCCCATTTGTATTCGCAACGAACTTATGGTTCTTGTCCTCTAATATCAAACCAACATATTCAGCCATGTCAGTCATTGCAGCTAACATATACTATTCTACAAATTGCGGCCAAGATTTTAAAATATGGTACATCAAATATTACGAAATTCAGTCCCGAGATAATATAGAGTAACATCTGAACAAACAAATACAAATTCAGATTAGCAATTTTAAATTAACAAATATTCAAAAATCAATCAAGCCTCTCTGCATCAATTATTCAATTCATCGTCCTTAGATATTTCGGCTGGGTGGATGGTCGACGGAGGGTAAACTCGTCTATGAAGCATTCTAGTATGTTTGGAAAGATAACCTGACTAATTGGTTCCACTGGTTTACATTGTTTAGTTGATAGAGTAGCTTGTTCCTCAGTTTTCTTTTTCTTAGATTTTCTCTTCTCCTAATGACTCTTCAACCTTACATTAGATATGCCTTTGAGCCTGTATTGTAGTGGGTCTTTTAATTTTTTTGTCCGACTTGTATTCGCAATGAACTTATGGTTCTTCTTGTCATCTAGTATCAAGCCAACATTTTTAGCCATGTCAGTCATTGCAGCTAACATATAATGTTATGCTTCCTCATTCCCTTTCCCTCATGTGCTAATTTGATATGTAAATCTACTGAAATAATTTTGAAATATTATACCTCCTAAGTCATAAGATGAGGTAACTTTGTTTCCCATACACGTCATCGTCCGACCAGCATAAATGTCTTTTCTAGCTCTAGCTGACCATCTCATAAGTAGGTATTTCAGAGGAATATTAATTATATCAAATTGTCTTATTACTCTCAATGAGTGAGAACATAGTAACCTCATCATGTTGAATTTTTCACAACTGCATTCAATGGTACCCTCTTTTTCATCAAAATGAACAGTCCAATGGTGAGATTGATCAATCTTGTCTGTTTTGACAAAAAATGTTGATAAGTCGCTTGAGGAATGAGTTATGCACATTCCACCCACACCCTATAAAAACTCATCAAAGAATGAATACAATTTTCGTGAATAAAATCTAGCGGTTTGCTTGAGTATTAGACTACTTTTAACTAAAGGTACAATATTAGAGTGGCTGCATTTGAAATCTTCATCATGTTCATTATGATGCCATATCTTCATCACTTTCTCTAACCCTAGAAAACAATCAGTTATGCTACTTGTAGGCTTAGAAATATTGTGGCACACCATGTTAATGGATTCACTGCGCTGTGTTGAAAGAATATCAAAGTTAAAACAACTATTGTTGAATGTTGTGAACTATTTCTTCCTTATTTTGAAAAGTTTGTTCAACCAATCATGGTTATGGAGGCCCCCTTCATTGATCATTTCAGCACAAGTACTCTCAAATTCCTCGAAATCACACTTGCTTAAACATCTATAAAAGTGTCCTCTAACTTTGTTGTTGTTATTGAAGCAAGACACCTTGGACGACACCTTCTTGGTGATGTGCCATTGGCACAGCCTATGGCGTGTTTTAGGTAATACAATTTCTATTGTCCGAGCCATTGACTGGTCTTGATCAGTAAATATTATAATGGGATATTTATCACACATAATTCGCAAGAATGTTCTAAACAACCATATAAATGATTCAATTGTTTCCTCTGATAAAAATTTCACCCCTAAAAGAACATTCTGTCAATGATTATTAACTCCAACAAAAAGTACACATGCTAGATTATATTTGTTAAGTCTATAGCTAGCATAAAACATTATCACATCTCCAAAGCAGTCGTAATTTATTCTCCCCACCTCATCAACTCAAAAAAAATTCAACAATCTATCATCTTCGTCAGTTTGGTTGTCTCATATAAACATGTTATCATTAATTAGTCGATCTTTGAAAAGTTCAATTAGGGAATAAGTATCTCCATTCTTAATTAGCTCTTTTCTCTTTTTGAATATAGTTATATGCATCTCTTTTAGAGAATCCTACATTATCTCTTCCTCCAACTTCATCAGCTAGGTATATAAATGCATCAATGGTTTTTATCCCAGCTTCTGTCATTGATTTAAGAGCAGATGCTTTCTCATCACTAATATTCCTACATGATCTAAGCAAATGTTTATATTCAAACCTTGTTAAGTCGTGATTATGGCTCTTTATGCATTTTTGCACCGTCCATATTCCATCTAGGTTGACTAAAATCTAATCATCGCGGGACACCCATTCATAATATTGGATTTTCTGTATTTTGATTTGGAGTTCAAGTCAATACCCTTCTTAAATCCAGTTTTCGAACAAACAAAATCCTTGCATCTTATGCTTCTCGAATTAGGCCAGTAACAGTGATGTTCTTTGCGAACACTAAAATCAAGAATTCAAGATTATGAGCGTAATGGCAGTACGTGTCATATGCTTCTTTCTCACTGTTAAACACAACCTGCGAACAACAAAAATTAATTGAACACTTTGATTTTAATATTGGAAATAAACACACCAATTGTACCCACCGGTACACAGCATCGGTACCTAGCGGTATCGAGCGGTACCTAGCATTGGAAAGCAACGGCATATGAGCGAGATTAGCCAATAAAAAAATATTTCAAGGAAATTTAATAAAATTAAAGTGTGAAATATCATATTTACCGATAATATCTCCGACTTACCTTCAGTTGTTTGATGCAGAATTTTTTTCTTACTTTGATGGGTTTGTTGCGTAAAAGTTAAATTCTCTTCTAACTGCTTCCCAGATCTTTGGCATCAGTCCCTTTATAAAATTTCGCTCTAACACTGTCTCAGGAAGATGGTCCAATCGACTAGCAAGGTACTCGAATCTCCCGGTCTATGATGCACTGACACTTCTTCTCAAAGAGGCGTGATGTGTCCGACACTGTGTCCGACACGACACTCGTCCGACACTCCGACACGTGTCAGACACGCCAAAAACGTGTCCGATTAAAAAATATTAAAAGTAAATTGGACACGCGTGTCTGACACGCGTTTCTTAAATATTTTATAATTTTTTTAAAATATGATTTTTTATATTTTGCGAGATTTAAACTAAATTTCTTATTTCATATCCACAACACCAAATCAACGTTTGCATTTAATACCCATTCATCGAATATTTTCATTTTCATTTCTCTTTGGCAGTGAAGGTATTTTCATCTCCTCTCTTTTTGCACAGTTACAAATCTTTCTCTTATTGAACCAGAGTTGAAAGTAGTGATATTCAATGATGATGATATTGAAGGCCAAAAACAAACCTCTAAAGTTAATCCTAATAGTTGAAGCTTGAATGCTTGATGTTGTAGTAAGTGATTATTTGTTTATATTTTTGTGGTTGTACTAGATATTTTGTACTAAATATTTTATATTATAAGCTAGACAAGTTATCATGTCATTCATTTATTATTGTTTGTCATTTTTAATATGATATTACATTAAAATATATACACTATATAAAAAAATGTATTGCCGTGTCCGCGCCGTACCCTGTCCTATATTTTCAAAAAAAGCCGTGTCTCGTGTCCGTGTCGTGTCGTGTCCGTGTCGCCGTGCCCGTGTCCGTGCATCATAGGTGGGGTAATGGTGGGCTCCACATGACATGATGTTACAGGCTTGCGGACATAGAGCTACGTCTAAACTCCACACCCAATAAAAGTTCCTTCCGATGATCCGGTTAGGAAAGTTGAAATATTAAATTTGACTTATGTTAAGAAAGGTAGAGGTAGACCTAAAAAGACTTATTTAGAAAATATTAGAAATGATCTTTCTTTATTAGATTTAGACGAGAATTTGACTTCTAAAAAGACTTGGTTATAAAATATTAGAAATGATCTTTCTTTATTAGATTTAGAAGAGAATTTGACTTTTAACAGGACAATGGAGAAAAAAGATTCATGTAGCCGACCCCATATAGTGGGACAAAGGCGTGATGATGATGATGATGTTGTGGTTAAATTTCTATGCATTGTACATATGCAAAGCATTTTAATTTCTTTCTTTGATACCACACGGCTGCAGTTGAATATATATTTTTTCTGCATCTCTGACAAAGTAGGCATGGGTAGTTCACATAGACAATCGAGTTTTCAATGTCCTTGATGCCATGCTTATCTTGGTATATATGTTTGCTTTATACTTAAAGAATACGAGTTGTTTTTCTTTTGCATCTTTTTGAAGGAATCATCGTTAACTTACTGATCTGTTAAAATACATATTCTGAAGTCAGTGTAAAATTCATTTCATGTTTAGATTAACTCGAAGTTCAACTTTGCTTAGCATTTTGCTTTCGAATTCTTTGAAGAACTAAGATTAGAAACTTTGGGTGGAAGTGTGGAACAAAGCTACCAAAATTTAGTTAGTGATTAGGGTGCCAGAAATTCATTAAGGTAGTTCTACTAAAAAAAACTATTCAGGGGAGACGATGCTCGTGTTAGAATTTCTGAAGTCATAAAAATAAAATTATGTCGTGACATTTGTTTGGTTTGTGTGGTTGAGCTGGATCTTGAACCATTATTTTTTGTCAGATCAGTTAATGATCTATAAAACCAATTTGAATGCACAGATCTCGCTGTTTTGTGTTGCTTCTCTGGTTCTAAACGACCCTAATTTTGCTCCTTTCGATAGCAGCAACTGCTTTCAGCGTTTATGATTTTATATTTGTAGTTAAAGAATATTTGCACAGTTTTGTGGCCTTATTTTGTTCTTCACTGGTTTGAGTAGTTTTCTGAAGTTTGCTTTTCTTATTCTGCTCTAGGTATGCTGAAGCTGGAACTTTGATGAACAATTATGCCCATATATTTGATCTATTGATACGACTGCGACAGGCATGTTGCTTACTTTTTGAATGTTAATCTTGTAGATATGGTATCTTTTAGTTCTTATAGTTCTGATAAAAAAGAATGACAAAGTGCTTTCAAACGGATTAAAAATTAGCTATTTAACAGTTTTTTTTTTGGGTCTTTGTGAAATAATAATGATCTGTTAAACAGCATTGTGAGAGGAATCTGCATGCCGTTTTATGATTTTTAGCTCGAGAATCCTTATTACTTGTGCTTCTTGGGTGATTAATAATGACAATTTTACTCCAACATTTTCAAATTCCTTTTTTAGCATCAATTTCCTTCTTTTTTATGTAAGGCAACTATTAGATCTTAAGGATATTATATAGCCTCTTCTTTAATTAATTTCAGGTGGAGTAGAGGTAAGATTTTATGTTATTCAAAACGACCAGTAGTACTCTCTTTTTTTTTTAATTCCAAGCAGGAGCACAAGCCTGAGGTTTCTGCAAGCTTTCTTATATTAGTTTTCTTAGTGAAACAAAGCCAGGACGAATTCTGGATTTTGAGGGCTTCATGCCCTAGATGGTGCCACCATTGCATACCTGCACATCCTACTTTGCATTGTTTCAGACTAATAAGTTGTTAGTTGGTGATGCAGGCTGTTGACCATCCTTATCTTGTGGTCTACTCTAGTTCTGCAGATGTTTCTGGTGGAGATATTGGTGATACCAACAAATCTGACTGTGGTATCTGTCATGATCCAGCAGAGGATCTGGTGGTGAGCTATCTTTTATCTAACTTGCGACCAAAGAACATTACAGTTAAAATAGCACCAATAACCTTGCAGCACCCACAAAATATATGCACACCCATACACCAATGGCATGTTCAGCTATACAGACTCCCCTTTCCTTTTGTACTCTTCTCTTTCAACATGTTAATATCCATGTTTTTGCTTTTGTTATGTTGATTGCCTAAAACACTCCTGTGTGTATTTCTCTTTTTTTTAATAATTATTTTTACAGGTTACATCTTGTGATCATTCCTTTTGTAAGGGTTGTTTGATAGAGTACTCTGCGGCTTCTGGAGATGTGTTGTGCCCAACATGCGACAGACCTCTTACAGTTGATTTAACAGCAAACTGCTACTCTGGAGGAAAAACTTCTGCGTCATCCATGAAGGGTTGTAAGCGTTCACGAATATTGCGAAGAATTGATAAAGATTATTTTAAGACCAGTACCAAAATTGATGCATTGGTAGGAAACTCTCCTTGCGTTTTTTTTTAAATCTTTTATTATTTTTGTTCTGATGATGAAACAAAGCCCTACAGATAATTTAGGAAACTTTTTTAGCTAACCGCAAAGACTACCCTCCCTATTTTCCATTCCCTATCCTCTATTTCTCTCTCTTCCATTCCTGCTACCTTGGCGGCCTGTCAGTGTATTCTAAGAAGCTAGGGAGAATAGTTCAAGGTGTACCACAAAGGCAAAAATCTAGTTGGAAAGACAGCATTGGTCTTGCATGTATTTTATTCTTATTATCAAGAAATGAAAGTTCAATATTTTTTCCTTAAACAAAATATTATGTACTGATAATACTTTAGGATTTATACTTCACAAAATACTTTAACGTTCATTTGCTTGCTACTGGATTAAAAACATGTTTTTGAAAGGCATGATTTTGTATTCATATTTTAAGTCTGAAAAATGAAATCATCACATATGAGAAGATATTTATAGAAGTTAAAATTAATTCTAATTTCTAATTATATACAACCAAAGCATGGTGTCTTATAAATTCACCATTTTTTCAAAATATATGTTGTAACTTCGAGCAACCAAATGAGCCCTTAACTTTTCAAGGTTTCCTATTGGTTAGTAGTCAGAAAAGTCTTGTATTTCCAATTCCTTTACTCAATATTAATTTATGGTGGTATCTTTTTTAATTTGTTTTATACTCGTTTTTATATCATGCTGTTTGTAAAATTATAGTTTGCTGTTAAACTTTGGTTATGTCATGTGACAATCAATCAAATATCATTATTTCTCTTTATATATTTAATATCTACCTTATTCTGTTTATTTTGCTAATACATTTTAAGCTTTCAAATATCTTTTAATTAACTAATGTTTAAAATTTCTTACACTTGATGAATGCTATATAATGTACCTATGTAATATTTGTGAAGCGCGTACACTTCTTTTTTGCTTGAAAGGCAACACTTCGCTTTCTGGCTTTTGCCTTCTGTAAACTTTTACTATAATCTTAATGGAGTCAAACCGAGTTGTCTAACCATGATCAAACTATCATGGAGCATGCAGTAAATATATATTCATCTTTTAGTCCTGCTTATAGATCTCTTCATTGTAGCTATTTGAAAATTAAGCATTCAAACATTAAACATTGACAAGCATGCCTGATGTAAACCTTATATGTTTTTGTTGATCTTTCCAAATTATATGCACCAGTTGATTTACTATTTCTAGAATGCTGTTTTTTTCTTCCATGACTTGTTGGAAAAACAACTTGAAGGAATATGCCCACTATAATTTCAGTAAACTTTGCGAAGTAATGTTTTGAGCTTGGCGAGCCTCACGTTCTAGAGCGATCCATATTATCAAAAATAGTGGCAATTTCATTTCTACTAAAAATTTTCAAGGATGTCCTAATTGCGGGGTTGTTATGCTTTTCTTTTCAAGGTATTTAATAATGACCCTTTTCTAGCATTCATGCATACTTCTTTCAGAAAGAAGAAATAAGAAATATGATTGAAGGTGATGGTTCTGCTAAAGGAATTGTATTCAGCCAATTCACTTCCTTTTTGGATTTGATCAATTTCTCCCTTCAGGAGGTAACCATTCTTTATTAGTTTTTTGGCTTATCGAACAGGCTCTGGATTTAACTAATAGTCTTGATATGGCAGTCTGGAATTACATGTGTTCAACTGGTTGGAAGCATGAGTCTACCTGAAAGAGAAAAGGCAATAAAAACGTTCACTGATGATGCCAATTGCAAAATATTCCTTATGAGCCTCAAGGCTGGTGGTGTGGCTCTCAATCTTACTATTGCATCAAATGTGAGTGAACTGCCAATGTGAATGCACAAGACAATCTTTTTTTACTAAATATCTTGATAAAACTAGGGGTGTCAATATTTGACACGACCCAAAAATCCGACTCGAACCCGACCTGAAAATTTCATGTTAGGGTCAACCCAAACCCGAAACAGGTTGGGTTTGGATTCAACAATTTGTCCCGTTTTAAAAATTGGGTCGGGTTCGGGTTGACCCTTTGACCCGAAATTGACCTGGCAACCCGAGATTGACCCGTCTTTGACCCATTTTGACCTGAAAAGAGGAGATTGACCCGTTCGTGGACCCGAAAACTAGCATTTTTTGTTGGCACCGGACCATTCGGGTTGTGTCGGATTGACCTGGCCCCGAAGCAGGTCGGGTTCGGTTCGACCCGAACCCGGCCCGTGACCCGAAATTGACACCCCTAGATAAAACTGTAATGCTCTTTTTTTATTTTGTTATATTTAATTCTTATTCCCATGTGAGCATAACTCATACTTTATATTGAACTTGTTGAAGTTCAAGGTTGGACAAATCTTCTGATAGTGTAATTGAATTAGGTCTTCCTGATGGACCCATGGTGGAATCCTGCTGTGGAGCGACAAGCTCAGGATCGGATCCATCGTATTGGACAATTTAAACCGATAAGGTATAAACAAACTCGTAGCATCTATTTTCATTGGCAAATCTTCTCCACGGCCATCTAATGATAATCCAATATCATAGGACCGTGAGATTCATCATTGCGAACACTATAGAGGAAAGGATACTGAGGTTGCAAGAGAAAAAGGAACTTGTGTTTGAAGGGTGATGATGATTCCTCCTGCAATAGTTTGATGAAGTGTTATTTGCTGGACTTTATTCGATTTTTGGAGTTCTTAATTTTATTCTTTTGTGTTATCCAGGACCGTGGGCAATTCTGCTGAAGCCTTGGCAAAATTAACAGAAGCGGACTTGAGGTTTCTGTTCAACTTCTAACTTTCCGGTTGCACGATGGATGTTTTAAAGGTAATGGATACTTCTTTTTGGACTACTATATTTTGTCACCAGTACAATTAATAATCTGCAAAATATAAGAACTGGGCTGATCTCCATCGTTTCTCCTGGTCCTTTATCATTTGAGGGCTTTGTCAACCAACTTTAAATCAAGTTTCGTGCTGTTCATGAGAAATCGGTAAAGGTAAAATGATTTTGCTATTATATTATCCTTACTATAATGTCAATCAACCTTTCTCCTACTTACCTACAAGGAATTTCCTCCTTCAGAGTTGGCAAGCCTAACAATTCATATTACTCGTACCTTTGCCTATTTCTTGAGAAATTATTAGGTGCGGAGTCTGGACGTAGAGTGATAGGAAATACTTGAGTCTGCAAGTAATCCTAAGGTAATATTTGAGTTCGCAAGCACTCCTAAGCCAAACGGAGGAGCAACCAGCAGGAGTTCTTCTGTTTACAGCAGAAATCAGCACCAAATCAGAGGAAAACGGCTAGAAAACTGAGAGAAAACCACACAAACACTTTTATTTCACAAGTAGATGAATAAAAATAGCAAAGATACAATTGATCCTCAATTCGAGAGGAGGATCGATCTCTCCCAAATCTCTAGACGCCGCTAGAGCCCAAAGGAAACCTAAATCTAATAGATCTCATATTTCAGCCAAATTCAAGATACCCAAACCCTAGGAAAATCAACTATTTAATGCATACAAATCAAAAGGAAATCCCTAAATAGTCCCTACATTCAAATTTCCCTCTCAAAACTAAAAAAAAAAACTTCCTAAACGGCTCTACGTGGGCTTGTCGGGCCGCTCATTCTGGTGGATTCTCCGCCTGTTTTGCTATTTCGCCAGTGAACCGGTCCCGCCTGGACCGGTCTAATTGGACAAGTCTAACATAGAGATACGTTCAAAAATCCACTTAAAATGTGACACATTGAGTGCTTTTTTATTCGTTTTAAATGCATTTTACATGTGCTTTACTTGCGCTTTGACTGTTCTTTTGTTGTGCTATTTTACTGCGTTTTTCCTACACTTTACTTGTGCTTTTGATGCGTTTGGCTTAAAGTTCTGCAGACACATTAAATATATAAATTAAAAATAAATCCAATTGAATATCCATGTGTCCACTCCACATGATAATATTTTATTGGAGTACGGACTCGACACCTAATAATTTTCCCTATTTGTGTAGTCACACGTTCTTCCCCATATATGGAAGATATATTGCTATTACTTGGAAGTATTATTGCACAGTGGGTTTTTGCCTAATCTAATGTTAAATTTAACAGGGCGGAGTGCTTTGCTTTTCCGAGCTGAACCTTTTTTTGTCCTGGGTGCAGAATGTACTAAGCATGATTTGAGTATTGCATATACTTATAATTTCGATTGAATCGGTGCTTGCCATGCATTCTTCTGATGGGAGTTAATGATTTTGTGTGAACTTTTCCCTTTTTGTAAGGCAGTGTTGTTTGAGGATTGGCTTCGCAGGAAATTGCCACAGAAATTAAATCACCATTAAGTGTTTTGGTCAGTAAGATCTCTCTGGACATTGTTAAGGTTTCTTGCTTGGTTAGTCAGCAAAATTACTTGTATATAAGAACTGTTCTAAGATTTGAAGATCAATCAAAAAGAAATGCTTATTTTTTTGTTAGTTTCTTGCATTTTACACTCATTTATATCATGCACCAAATGGGCATCATGCACATCAAAATCAGATCAATCTATAACTATACGTGCATCTTTTTTTCTTTTCTTTTTTCTTTTTTTTTTTTTATTGTGATTGGCATAATAAGTATGCTGCTCCTACTTCTTCAAAGCATAACATACTTAAAAGTTACATCTTTATAAATAAGTAGTGATGAATAAGAAAATATGATCATAGATGCATTGTAAATGTGATATGTAAGTATATGAAGACTAGTTTTATTTATGAGAATCAATCAATAATCTTATACTTAATAATGTAAAAAATAATGACAGTTTTAGATAATGATCACATTTTGCATCAAGTTTAACATAATAAATTTTGTTGAGGATATTGAAGTCAACCTTTAAGACTAATCATTCGTTGCAATAATCTCTCTTTCTGTAAAAAAAATTTAACTAAACACTCAAGTAGTCATTCATTTCAGGTAGAAATGCACCTAAAAATGAATAGATAATTAAAACAACAATTTTATTCTATCATTTAATAATTATTATGTAAATAAAAATGGAGCATATATAGATTTGAGCATTTCAAATCAATAAAATGTTTAGACTCATGCATTAATAGAAAATAACTTATATGACAACAAATTTTTTGCTCCAGTGATTTCAAGAAGAATTATAAAGATGCTTAAATGTTATAATCAATACTATATGCAATACTACATTGTCCAACTTATAGTAAAATGAAAATCTTTTTTTGAAACATTATTTTATGTGTAGTCTAGATGTAGAGTTATATCTAAATTGTGAGCGTACATAGTATCTGCATACTATGCATACTCATAATCTGAATATAAAATTACATCCAGACTTCACACGTAATAATTTTCCTCTTTTTTGTGTTGATAAAAGCAAAAAAAAACAACTAAAAATATGGTCTCTCTCTCTCTCTCTCTCTCTCTCTCTCCTATCATTAAAAAAAATTGAGACTAGTGAGCGAATTAAACATACACTCTCACACACATAATCTATGCATGACTCAAACTCATACTGTTTATTAAATGAGCCGATCCAAATTTGAATTTTTAGGGTTAGGTCCGAGTGGGATCATTTTTAGACACCTTTAGATAATAGTTGTGACGGAGGCTGGGTGTTATAATTGTTTATGAAGTACTTAAAATATTTAGAATTTATTTTTGGACTGGGTGTTATAATTGTTTATAAAGTACTTAAAACATTTAGAATTTATTTTTGAGTATTTTTTTAAAATAATTTGATTTAAATCTAAGAACAAAAGATATAAATATATTAAAATATATATTTTTAAACTAATAATAATAATAATAATAATAATAATAACAAGAAACTGGAACATTTAGCAGCCATAAAACAAATTAATTGAAGCCGTGCAGATCAAATCTTGAACGATCATAAGAAAATCGAAGTAATTTCATTTTATGAAGCCCATTTTCATATAAAAAATTTTTCAGAATATTCTGATTTTGAATAATTTCTAAATTATTAGAATAATATAAATTTAATTAATTTTTTTATGCATTATATTTATATTAACTTAAACTTAATCAAAATATTTAAACCCAAAATTCTGTTGTTGCCCTACCCTTATGTGTAGAACAAAACTAAAAAACAAATGTGAGCATTTGTTCTTATAAACTCTTAAAGCATTACGCATATTACTGTGAACATTTGGATTTTTCAACTACTTAGGGAGCATGTGTGAAAGAAACTTGTTCAGAAGTTCGACTAGAGGGTTATGTACACGAGCACCCTTGACACTGCACAATTTGCTCGGACTGAGCACTGCAGTGTCCTAGTTTTAGCATCGCAATGCTGCGCAGTGTCGCAACGCCATGGGTTTAAACATTGCAGAATTGACAGACGGATCGAGATCAAAGGTTTGAGCGCCCCAATGCTCCAAACTAGCATTAAAGGTGAGTTCGACAGTTTTTTTTCTCATTTTTCGTGAGGGTGGCATCCCTTGATGTTATTTACATGACTTTTTCTTGTGTTTTGTTTGTGTGAGAGACGTAAAAGTGAAGAAAAGTAAGGAGATAACTAGAGAGAAGATATACCTATACTTATTTCTCTCCATTTTTATAGTGGATTTCTTGATGTAATGTGACTCCATGATTTTCCCTATTTTGAATCTTCTCACATTAAATCCTGATGCCATTTACTTTCCGCTACATTTCTTTTTTTCTTATTTGTTTAATGTAATTTACTTTCATCCACAACATCATATATTTATATGTGAACATATTTATTTTATTTAGGCCATCATTAAAAGAAAATAAAATACTTGTCTTCCAAACCTAATAATTAATGTCATATAAATTTAATGAGGTATAATATAAATCATATAATATAAGCGTCAGCTCCACGTTAAAATAAGCGTCAGCTCCACGTTACGCTTCCAATCGGGCTAAACCCAATATTCCTGTATTATATATTAATTACAGAAAAAAATGGTTTAAATATAAAATTTTTAATAAGATTGATCTTAAAATTATTAAATTTATTTTATGATGATTGTAATGAAGTTTTAAGTGAATTTTTATGTAAAAAAATTGTGTTGGATATTACGACCACAAATTAATTTAGATTGGCCTCAGCATGTATGAGTAATCAATTAAAAATAATTTTTAGATAAATATAATATAAATTTTATTTTGTTCCTCATATAGAAAGCTTGTATATAAGAACAAAAACATATATATCATGACAAAAAAATTAAAGCTTAAATATTATTAGATTTATTTTCAAGTGAGTGTAATATAAAGATAATTAATAAAAATTTGTATGATATTGATTGCAAAATAAATTTGAAACTTATAGTAACCAACAATTTAGGCTTCATTTGGGACGGCTTTTTATTGTTTCTTAAAACAGATTTCTAGTACAAAAGTTAAAACTTTTATACTCGAAAGCTGCTTTAAGAAGTAGCCAAAAAAGTCGTACCAAATGCAGCCTATTAAGATGGTTTTCTAGTACAAAATTTTTAAATTTTGTACTAAAAAGCTGCTTTAAAAAGCATGAAAAAATCTGTGTAAAATGAAGCCTTAATTAGTATATCTAAACCAAATTTTCTTTCTTATAGTGAAGTTCTCAACATGAATTCAAAATTTTTTAAAATTTTGATCAACAACACAGTAGCGACAACAACGATATCAAGTTTTTATTCCAATATATGAAGTTGGCTACATGAATCATTTTATTAATTGTGTCCTATTAAGAGTCAAATTATAATTTAAATCTAATAAAAAGAATGTCATATCTAATACTTTCTTATCATGTCTTTTTAGGTTTACCTTTACATATCTTAACATAGGTTGCAACTAATGCATCTACTCTCCTAATCGAGTCATTGAAAAGTTGATGCTTTATGTGACCAAACCATCTAAGATGCCGCCCTTTAATCTTATTTGCTATTGCAAGTACTCCAACCATATTGAATATATACTCATTTCGTGTTCTATCTCTAAGTTTAAAGCAGCTCATCCATCTAAGCATCATTATCTCTCAAACACTTGATTAATTTTATGTTGCTCTATTAATGGCCAATATTCTACGCCATGAGCATTGCAGGTCTCACCACCATCTTATAAATTTTTCCTCATAAGTTTGAGGGGTGCTTTTCTATCACACAATAGGCTTGATGTATTTGTTCACTTCAACCATCTAATTTAGAGATATCAAAATAGGTTTTCGGGTCGAGTTCGGGTTCAACCTGAAATAGTCCCACCTTTAATGAATCCAATACAAATCCAACCCGGTTAAATAAATGGGTCAGAAATTTAGACTCGGACCCAACCCGGACAAGCCAACTCGTCCCTTGTCCGAGTTGACATGACTTGACCCCTACCTGCGGGTGCAAGTAGGCTAGGAGTACGTGCAACTATATATGTGTGTGCGGGTGATAGCGAGGGCGCAATCGAGAGCGGACAAGGGCTCAACCGAGGGTGGCAAGGGCGAGGCTACGATCAGGTGAGCGGGAGAACACGACTACTCGAGCGGGGGTGTGAGGTTGCGAGCGTAAGCCGCGAAGGCGAGGTAAGCGAGTGTGACAGAGTTGCATTAATTTCGTGGCGTGGTGCAGGAGTGGGGACACAGGTTGAACTCTAATTGATCCCAGGTTAGCAGGTTGATTAGATCACTACCCACTTTCTTAAATGGGTCGATAATTAAGGCTCAAATCCGACCCATTTGTAAAACGGGTTAACCTGAATCCGAATTTTCCAGATCAGATTAGGGTCAGGTTTTTGTGTCATCTCGATCATTAATTGGCACCCCTAATCTAACATAAATTCTACTAATAATATTTCTATATATTTCAGCATCACTTTGAATAATATACTTCAGATATCTATAACATGCACTCCTTTTAATGACTTAATAGTCCAATATCACACTTTCACCACTAGATCTATTACTAGTAAAATTATACTCTCTTTGTTCTATTTTAAACTTCATAATTTAAACTTTCCTTCAAATCCATCTCTAATTTTATCAACAATAAGAATATCATCAGCAAAAATCATACACCAAGTTACATCCTCTTACAAGTGCCCTAAGAACATCCATGACTAAGCAAAAAGATATGGGATTAAAGCTGTTCCTTGATGTGACCTAATTAAAATAGAAAAATATTTGATTAAACCACATTGTGTTTGAACATAAATAATAGCTCCTAATGGCTTGAATATAAAATGAATATAAAAATTCCATTAATTATATATATACTACCATTTTAATTCTCTCCGCAACGTCGCAAGAGCAAAGCCTAAAGCTTTACGTTCGAAAGTGAGACTGGAGCGAAAGTGACCGATCTAGATAGAGAAAATGGCGCAAATTTTGCCGTATTTACCACGACGAAGAAGAAGAAGAAAAAAAGCATATAACCCCGCACCTCTCTCTCCCTCTCTCTCACTTTCTCAGAGAGTACCACGCATACCGGCTTTTGCACTCTCTCTCTTAATGGCTTCTTCCATCACTGGCAGCCATTTTGAGGAGCTTGTGCTGGGATTATTGATGTTTTGGTACTTGTCGTCGATGGGAGCTGCCATTAATAATGGGAACTCCGGTGGTGTTCCGGCGGTGTACGTAGTTGGCGACTCCCTGGCGGACGTCGGAAATAACAACCATCTCTTGACGTATATGAAGGCAGATTTCCCACACAACGGTATCGACTTCGCCGGCGGCAAGGCCACTGGTCGCTTCAGCAACGGCAAAAACGCCGCCGACTTCATCGGTAAACCGCTGCCGCGAAATTTGAAATCATTTTTGTATTTTGCTTTTTTTTTTCTTTATTTTTACTTAAAAAAAAAATAAATTAAGTATTTTTAAAAATAACATAAAATGACTTTTAATTTTTTTTAATATTTTTTAAAACTAATTCCATAGCAAGCAATCACCTTTGGGCTTTTATTAGGTCCTCTGATCGGACGTAGCTCTACATTTGGTCATCACTGAGTTACTCGGTTTTTGATCGGTATTTTTCTAAGAAATTTAAACACAATTGGTCTAGGATGTTGGCAGCACCCCATGAGAAGATTAATCATGTTTCATTTTTTTATTTTTTTCATATTTATTAACTTAGTTTAATTATTTACCATATTTTATTTAAAATTTTGTCAAGTTTCCCCAAAAATAAATAAATTTTTGTCACGTCGCTGCTTGCTTCTTCCTTATTGTGGAAGTCCGTTAACTAATTTTGACTTATACACCGCCACAAGTCATGGTTGACTGACCCGTAGATTTCTGTTAAAAGTGATTTTCGTTTTAGATTTTAAGATAAAAAAAACCAGTTTGGGACAGCTACAGCCGTTTATAAAATTAATTATGAAGTTGATATGGAGAAAGAATTTAGGCCATTTAAGGCAAACTCATACACACAACGCATACACAAAGACACGAACCCTAGACCTCTTGGTTGGAAGCCTAAGCTCTCAACCAACAGGCCAAGATGAGCTGTGTACGTTTTAAATTTTAAGAAAATTAAAATCAGTTTGGGACAGCTACAGCCGTTTATAAAATTAATTATGAAGTTGATATGGAGAAAGAAAATTTGTTACTATGATTATAAAAAACAACTTTTTATCACAATTTTTTTTTAAGCAATGAAAAAATAACAATAAAATAATAATCAAATGAAATTATAATTGTTTTCTAAAAAGTAAAACAACGTGCTAAAAGTTGTCCCAAATAAGGGTGTCACTTTCGGGTCACGAGTCGGGTTTGGGTCGAACCCGAAATTGACCTGGCACTATTCGGGTCAACCCGAACCCGACCCGCTTTGAAAAACGGGTCAGTTTTCCTGACCCGAAGCCGACGCGCATCGGGTCCGGGTCAACCCGACAAAACCCGAATGACCAGTTTACAACAAAAAATTGCTAGTTTTCGGGTAAAAAATGGGTCTATCTCCTCTTTTCGGGTCAAAACGAGTCAAAATCGGGTTTTCGAGTCAAAATCGGGTCAAAGGGTTAACCCGAACCCGACCCGACTTTTGTAACGGGTTGAAATGTTGAACCCGAACCCGACCCGTTTGGGGTTCGGGTTGACCCTAACCAGAAATTTTCGGGTCAGGTTCGAGCCGGGTTTTCGGGACGTGTCAAATATTGACACCCCTAGTCCCAAATATGAGAGATTATTACGTGCAGAGTCCGAACATAGAGAATCGTTCGGTTTTATGATTGTAACCAATAATATCGCTGTAAAAGTGCAACGTTAAACCGTCAATGCGTAATGATGAACATTAACTGCATTTTTACAGTTAAGAGTCATAAAACCAAATGATTCTTAGTATTCGAACTCCGCACGTAATAATCTCTCCCCAAACAAATTCTAAATTTCAAATTCACACACTTAACATATATAACTTTGAGCCCGAGACCTCCTAATCGTTAATTTAAACTCTCAACCAACAAATAAAAATTAGCTGCATATAATAAAGTAACTTAACGTGCATAATCATAGATTACAACAGCTCAACCTGTTAGTCACTCAATAATTAACTTCTAATTATGTATCTTGCTCTGCCTTCTGCATTTTGGCAGCTGAAAAGCTAGGATTGCCATCTCCACCAGCTTATCTTTCCATCAAGTCAAGCATTGGCAGCTCTCAAACATTCTCCACTGGCATTAACTTTGCCTCCGCTGGCGCTGGAATATTAGACGCTACCCACAACGTAAGAGCTGCTTAAAGGCTTCATTTGGGGTGGCTTTTTACTGCTTCTTAAAGTAGTTTTTGAGTAAAAAAATTTTAACTTTTGTACTAAAAAGCTATTTTAAGAAGCAGTAAGAAAGTCATCCCAAACTAAGCCTAAACTTTCTATAAAAAATAGCTTTTACTGTTTTCCTTAAATAGATTTATTTATTAAACATAAAATTAACAGAACAACGGCTGAAACTAAATTTCCATCTAACAAAGTTCAATAAATTTTCAGGGCGAATGCCTGTCACTGAACAAGCAGATAGACTACTTATCCACCACATATGCAGCAATGGTGGAGAAAAATGGAAATGAGCAAGCCCAAGCTCATCTGGCCAACTCCATCTTTGCCATTATAATTGGAAGCAATGACATATTTGGCTATGTTAAATCCAACGGTAACACGACTCCCCAGCAGTTTGTTGGCTCTTTGATCTATGCACTGCAAGGACAGCTGCAGGTACTTTTATAATTAAGTAACAACTCTTATATATTAGTGATCATATCATCACGCTGGTAATGCTACTGCTCTTTGTAAAGCATGTGCAAGACCATCTCAAATGTACTTGTACTCTCAAGCACCTAGGGGTGTAAACGAGTCGAGTCGAGCTCAAGTCAGGAATTGTTCGAGTCGAGCTCGAATATCTAATTCCGAGCACGAACTCGAGCCTAGCTCAAAATCCGAGCTAGAGCTCAACTCGTCTTTATGTCGAGCGGCTTGTCGAGCTCAGTTCCAAGCTCCGCCATCGATATCCTTCGTCCCGAGCACATCATCTTCTCTGTCGTCTTCCCGAACTCCGGCGACGTCGGCCTGAGGCCCTGTTCGTTGTCGAAAATGACGGGCATCGTCATCCAGTTCTTCTCCGTCGTCTTCCCGAACTCCGGAGACGTCGTCCTGAGGATCCAAGCTCGTAGTCGAAGATGATGGACGGCGTCGTCCATATTTTCTCCATCGTCTTCCAGAACTCGCGTCTGCCGCTGTCATCAAAGCTTGTTCGCCGTTGAGATTCGCGTGCGAGCTCCGTCGATTTGGATTTCCCGTTCGCGAGCTCCGTGAATTAGGATTTCCCGCTTGGGAGCTCTGTCGTCGAGCTGCTCGCCAAGCCAGCGAGTCGAGCCGGAGGCTTGTTCGAGCTCGAAATTGTTTTCAAGCTCGACTCGAAAGCTCAATAAGCTCGACTCGTCTAGCCTATTACCGAGTCAAGTCCGAGCCAGCTCGCGAGTCGCCTTGACTCGATTGCACCCCTACTCCCACCCACTTATTGTTTAACTGTCATTCACTTCCTTGTGCAAAACTTATTTACCATAATTTGAACTAACATGTGCTAACTATGCTCACTAAGACTTCCAAAACTCCCTCTGGCAGAGGCTGTACAATATAGGAGCTCGCAAGTTCGCTTTTGTTGGCACTGGCCCTGTGGGCTGCTGTCCCTCCCTGAGGAGGCAGACCGAGGCCAATGACTGCAATGCAGCAGCCAATTCTGTCTCTGATCTCTACGACCAGTCTGTACTTACTCTTCTCCAGGAGTTGAAGTCACAGCTCAGTAATATGAAGTACTCTTTCTTCAATACAACCCTTGCAATGCACGAAATCATGGACAATCCAGCTGATTATGGTATTATCAATCAATAAGCATTCTCTTAGTATTACTTTGGGCAAATTATTTTGTGTAGAGACCGCCCGCAAGCTTACGTTCGGATTTGATACGCTTTTATTATGATTTTGTTGTATTTTTGCAAACGGCGGCTAATAGACAATTTTAATTGCGTATTAGCCGCCTTTTTGTAAAAATACAGCAAAAACATAGTAAAAGCGCAACAAATATCTTACTAAATGAGTATTTGTTGCTCTTTTGCTTCGCTTTTGCAAATACTCGATCAGCAAAATAGCAACTAATTCGCAATTAAAAATGACTATTTGCTGCCTTTTGCAAAAAATACAGCAAAAACACATTAAAAGCACAACAAATATGAACATAAGCTTGCATGCAATTTCCGCATAGAATAATTTGCTGTTACTTTGACAGATTTCATCAAATCCAAATGGATAATTAACCAAAAAAAGATGTGTTATTGTTGTAGGATTTACTGAGGTGAAGGCTGCATGCTGTGGACTAGGAGACCTGAATGCCAAGGTGGCCTGCACTCCTTTCTCTTCCTACTGTTCTAACAGAACAAATCATGTTTTCTGGGACTTCTACCACCCTACACAGGCTACAGCCGAGATCCTCACAGCTAAAATGCTTGAGGGCTCAGCTCCACATGTCTATCCAGTCAATGTAATGCAGTTGAGTGCCCTTTGAGATTGGTTCAAATGTAAGTGTAGAGATGCAAGTGAAGCATTTCTAAAAATGTAGTTGTCTGATTACAAAATGATGCTTGTGAATATAAACTAAAAAGAAGCTTAAAGTTGGGCATGATAGATACATCAAAAGATCAAATTTCTTTTCATTAAAAAAATGTTAAAGCTCATCAATATGATCAACCATCATTACTTACACACCAATATACTCTTCAGGCTTCGTTTGGGATGGATTTTTTATTGTTTCTTAAAGCAATTTTTACTCCTTCCTTAAGTTAACATATGAGAGTTGCTCTCAAAGCAATTTTTTTTTTAATTAATTTAAGCAAATATTTTTTCTTAAAATAGCTTTTGGTATTTTATAAGATAATATTTTTAAAATTTAAAATAGTATATAAGATATATATATCCATTAACTTCTACAAAACTTCAAAAAGTGCTTCACAATATAAGATGTCTCATGGATTGAATTGAATTTAATGAATAATATATATCTTACAATTTGTTGTGTGTCAAAACATTCACAACAGTAGAGCTAGAGAGTTTATTGTCTTTGCAGGATATAAAGATCTAATATACATACAAATAAATGAGTTCCAAGAAGCACTAAATTTTTTATATGAAAATATATAGAAAAGAGAATATCAGTCTTTTCTAGTTGAAATTATTTCACTAGTTTTTGTCATCGACGATAAATAATGCACTTCTTTGAGAAAAATGTTGATACAATTTAGTAAATATCCAATGTATAAAATGTACTAATGTAAGTTGGAAAAAAAACTCGGCTTAATTCTTTCAATCATATACAATTTATTAGAAATTTAAGTGCTTTAATGATAGAGATTTGATTGATCATGAGCTCGTTGGATTCCTCTCCTCAAAGGACCTATCTTGACTAAAAGTACATATAATTTAGATCATTTAATCTTTCAAATAGTATCATGAAGGTTTTAATTATACTTTAATTGCATAATTTGGATCCATTTAGACTCAAATCAGAACACTTTTGATCTAGTTAAGCTTTTATTATCCAAATATTCATTTCAACTATTAATTTATTTAATCAAAGTTAATATAATCTTAAATTTAATTCCAAAAATCTACAACTTAAGTATTGCATCAAGATTCATATTTGAGCAAATGAAAATTTTTTATGATATACCAAAGTTTGAAGATTTATTCATAAACTTAAAAAATCATTAAAATATTTTCTTGCAATGCATAAATTTTAGTTAAGAAAGAATATCATGATTCATATATTATTTAATGCATGTTTTTCTATGAAAATTAATATAAGAAAAATTGTAAAATTCTATTTAAGGTTCCTTTGGACGCTTGAAGTTAAAAATTAATATTTTTAATTAACAGCGTTAAACTAAATTTATCATAAAATTTAATTAAATGTAAGTAAACATTAATACTAATTTAAAACTCTAAGAATTCAACAAAAATAGAAAAATAATAAGTTATTTTGACATTTAAAATATGAATATTAGAATCATCAATTTTAAAGTTAATTTTTTATATATATATATATATATATAACAAATAAATGAGCCTTTATAAGTAAATATTCTTTTCTCCATAAGAAAATCAGTTAACAATTATGACAAATTACATCTAAAGTGCAATAAGGAATGCCAAAACGTAAAAATAAATATTGTTAAAAGGCTATATAATTTGACATAAAATAGATGTAAAACATTTCACATATAGAGATTTTAGAAGACATAGTATTTGGTTTAAAGTAAAAGAAATATAGAGAGAATTTAGAATTTACTTTTTAATTCAATTTTGATATATTTAAAAATTGTTAAATTTAAATGAGTTTTAAATGCACTGTAAATTATTTTTTATTACTCGTGTGAACATCTATGCTAAGTGAAATTATCTGTGTGGTCACCGGATGCCGTCCGCAAGTGAATCAGGACTAGCCACATCCATTTTTTATTGTGTACCGATATAGTGTACCGTTGTATACAGTGTGATGTGGCGCATCCTGATTCTCCTCTAGACCGTCTTGTGACAGCCCAGAATAATTTCTCTAAGCTACATCTATCCTGTCACCTATCGCCACCCATCACCACGAACAATTATTAGGTCAGGTGTCCTGACGTAACTCTAGGCTCAGACACCAATAACATGTCGCCATGTACTCTTACTCTTTACCACGCGGCCCGACGACCCAACTCGGACCTGAACCCGGTATTGCTATGTTCGGGTATCGCTAGGTATTGCTCGGTATTGCTAGGTATTGCTTGGTATTGTTTGACAAGAACGAGAAATACCGCTCTACCAAGACCAATACCTAGCAATACCTAGCAAACTGGGGTATTGCTCGGTATTGCTATGTATTGGTCTTCACATAATGATATTTCTCGTTATTGCCGAGCAATGTCGAGCAATACGTAGCAATACCCCGGTCTGCGCAAATCAGCCAATACATAGCAATCACGAGTCCGGTTCGGGTCGGGTCGTCGGGCCTCGCGGTAAATAATAAGAGCACGTGTCACCATTTTACTAGCATCTGAACGTAGAGCTGCGTCAGGTCACCGGATCAAACAAAACCACCTACCTCTATTTGTGGAGAAATTATTATGTGTGGGCGTCAAACGCAGCTTAACATCCGAAGACCAACATGAATGAGCCACGTTAGTAATACCGAACACGATACTGAGCGGTACCGAGCCGCTATACCGACGGGACTCATTCTGATTGGTCTCCGAATGACGTTCAACATCCGCACCGAATAATTTCCCCTATTTATGGTCCGGCACCTAGAAAGGAAAAAGTGTTTGTAATATGAGATTATTTGGCTTCAATCTTCAGAGATTTAGAACTTTTAAAATTTATCCTCTATGAGTAGAACAATTATTACGTCCTCTGACCTGACGTAGAGGTACGTTCGGCCGCCAGTAACATGTCGCCACGTGCTCTTACTCTTTACCGCGCGGCCCGACGACTTGATCCGGAGCGGAACCCGGGAATGCTATGTTCGTGATTTTATCGGTATTGCTCGGTATTGCTTTGCAAAAACGAGAAATACCGCTCTGTGAAGACCAAAACTATACAATACCGAGTTGTACCGAGTTTTTCTACAACTCGGTATTTGCTCAGGATTTGCTCGATATTGCTAACTAAACATGTGTCCATTTCCCCTTGGAACAAAACAAATTTGAAATTTCCTGCTTTTTTAATATTTCTTTTATTTATTTTTCCATCAGTTCCAGTCACCCCACCCCCTTAATTATCACTTATCAGCATCTCCTAAATCCTCATAAAGCTCCTTTTATTCGCCGTCCACACAACTACAACTCGTAATGCCTCTCTATCCATTCCAATACAATCCAAACCACCAACCCCGTCGCTGCCCTCCTCGTCTTCCCCCTCATTTCTTCTCCACCCCTTAAACCCCAAGCTATGCTCCATCTCTCCTTCCATCCCATCTCTTCCCGCTTCTCATTCCTCCCCTCCAAATCCCCCCTCACCGCCTCCGCTTCCCCGTTCCCCCTCTTCAAACCCATCTCCCTTCCCCCTCCCCACCCACTCCTCCTCTGCTCCCCCTGCCGCCGGCGTCTCCCTCCCCTCCCTGCTGCAGACCCCTCTGTCTTGCAATCCGTCGCCGAAGCCTCCGCTGTCCTCGCCGGCATCATAGTGGTCCACGAATCCGGTCACTTCCTTGCCGCCTCCCTTCTCCGCATCCGCATCTCCAAATTTGCTATCGGCTTCGGCCCCCCTCTTGCCAGATTCTCCTCCTCGTCGGGCATCGAGTTCTCCCTCCGCTCCTTCCCCCTCGGCGGCTACGTCGCCTTTCCCGACGCCGACGACCCCGAGTTCCCCGACTCTGGCATCGCCCCCGACGATCCCGACCTCCTCCGCAACCGCCCTCTTCCGCATCGATTCCTCGTCGTCTCTGCCGGTGTGGTAGCTAATCTTTTGTTTGCCTACCTCGTCCTCTTTTCCCAATGCATATCCTTCGGCGCCGCCGCGCGGCAACCCCTTCCTGGTGTCCTCATCCCCGATGTCCGCCCCCTATCCGCCGCCTCCGCCGCCGGAATTCTCCCCGGCGACGTCATCCTCGACGCGCCTTCCGTCTACGGTCTCGTCGATCTGATCAAGTCCAGCCCCGGCAAGAGCATCCCACTCCAAATCAGCCGCAAAACCCTACCGAACCCTTTCATCGTTAATGTTGTACCTGATACGGATTCTGACGGAACGGGCAGGATCGGCGTGCAACTCTCCCCTAACTTCAGGGTTACTAGAGTCCGACCCGCGAATATCTTTGAAGCCATTCGATTCTCCGGAGTGGAATTTGTTGCGCTGTCGGCCACAATTTTGGAAGGGTTGAAGGAGACGTTTCTGAATTTTTCGCAGACTGCTGGAAAGGTTGCAGGGCCGGTGGCAATTATTGCTACTGGGGCAGAGGTGGCAAGGTCGAGTTCAGATGGGTTGTTTCAGTTTGCTGCTGTGATTAATTTGAATTTAGCCGTGATCAATCTGCTACCACTGCCTGCGCTGGATGGTGGAACTCTGGCTTTGCTGCTGGTGGAAGCGGCACGGGGTGGCCAAAAACTGCCACGGGAGTTGGAGCAGAGGATCATGTCTTCCGGGGTTTTGGTTGTTTTGATGCTTGGTTTGATACTCATTGTGAGGGACACGCTTAATCTTGATTTCGTAAAGGAGATGTTGTGATGAGAAGATGGGAATCTGAATCTGGATTGGTTTTGGAGCTAATTATGCAAGAGGGAGCTCATTGTGGCTGGGATTGATTGGGATGGAGGCAGAGTTATATCGGTGGGTAAAGCACTAAAACTCTCTCTTTTTTTTTTCTTGATCTTATTTTTCTTCTGGTTTACAATTCTAAGCATGGATGCAAATATGTTGTAAAGTGGGAGAACTGTTGATGAGGAGTATTTCAATTGGTAACATGTTAATTGATAACCGAGAATAGTCAATTATGTGTACTTGCTCGAGCCAAAGTTTTAATTGATTGAATAGTTCTATACACTTTTTTCAGGTTATTCAATTGTTCAAGTTTCTGTTATCTTATCTCCTACAACTTGAAGTCTAAGCAAGACTGTTTTTTGAATTAGATAGTTCTTTTTAATTTCTTAGGCAAACGGTAATTTATACAATATTAGTTATGAACAGATTTTTCTTATTGCTTAAGGCTTCATTTGTGACGGCTTTTTTACTGCTTCTTAAAATAAATTTTTTATACGAAATCAGAAAGCTGCTTTGCAAAGCAGTAAGAAAGTCATCCCAAATAAAATCTAAAATTGATTTGCTTTTTCCTGTATGTCTCATTTTGACCACCTCATCATCCAGCCTTCCCTGATAGAATGTAAGGTATTACAGTGTTGGCAAATTATTGCAAATTGTTTTGTGTCTCTATGATATAGAAATTTGAATGAGATAAAGGAAAGGGAAAAAAAAAAGAAAGGATGCAACCATTATAAGACATAGAGCTTGAGTATTTTCTTTAGGGCCAACTAGATATATATCCAAGAATTGAAATTTTCTACAGCATGAAGTTCTATCTAGGCGCCAAGTGCTAACTAGATATGTTGGTTAGGAATTAAATTAGTTAATAGTTTAAGGTACATAAAAATATGTGGTACCTTCTCTGTTTAGTTTTTGTAGGATTCTTTGGAGGAAGATGAAGCTCATTGAGCTTCTTGGAAGAGAGAGAGAGGGGGAAGAATAGAAGAAAGCAATATAGAATAGAAATTATATTGCTTATTGGCTTATCTTCTTGTTACAGACTATAACTCATATTTATAGACTCCATTGGCAACACAAAGCTACACAAGATCCCAAAGAAAGTACAATAGAAAATACTAAAGATAAATCTGGACCAATATCCAAACAATCTCCACATTGGTCCAGATTTTACAAAACATCTGAATCAATCCAACCATCTCCCAAATATACCGCCGCTGCTAAGCTAGCGTCTACTTTGAGCCCAACTCCTTGCAGTTTCTACTAATCTGGTCAATTTCATTTGAAATGCCCCTCTTTATGTTAGCAGAAGCACTTCTTGTTGAACTTGATTCCTCTAAACTCTGGTCTTTCTCTTGCAATCAGAATATTGTCAATATTTTCTTCTTCCTGTTTAGATTTTCTCTAAATATATTTTGACATTAGAATGGCCTTAACTTCTGTCATTGTCAAAGTCTGCTTCCCATACAACATAGTATCAATGATGTGTTCATAGGTTGGCAGTGAGCTAAGCAAGATGATGTCTTGATCTTCTTCATCAATCCACACCTCAACATTCTTGTGTTGAAGTCATCCATGTGCTTTCAAAGATCCTTTGATTCTTCCATTTAGAGGGTATACAGCTGCTTTTTTAGGAACAATCTATTTGCAGGAGATGTTTTCATGTAAAGAGATGCTAGCTTTTGCCATACCTCAAGCATTGATTCTTCTTTTGCTACTTCTCTCAGTACCTCATCTCCTAATGAAAGAAGGATTGCACTATGTGCTTTCAAGTGCATCTCCCTCGTTTTTACTCTGTCCGTGACTACAACAAGATTCTCCTAAGAAATGGCATCAGCAAGGCCTTGATGAACCAATAAAGCCTTTGTATTAATCCTCCATAAGCTGAAGTCATTTTCACAAGTGAATTTGTCAATTTTGAATCGTTGCGTTGACATGATCCTGAAGTGTAGCCGCTAATGCTTCACCTCAAAAGATCTAAAAAAAATCTTTAATCAAGAATTTTCGCATTGTTCCTGTAATCCGTCAACACCCGAGCCGTGCCTCATCCGTCTACAGTCCAAATTTGACCGCAAGAACTTCACCCATGCCACAAAACCGCAGCCCCACCTTCGTTCACACGAACAAACTCGATATCCAGCAGCGCTCTCGTGCTCCTGCTCGCAAACGACACTCACACCGTCTGAATTCGTCTGCCACACCAGTCGTTGGGAATCTAGCAGTCTGCCCGCCCCAGTCCCTGCATGACCTTCCTCCGGCCTGTGCACGCTTGACGCGTAGTTCGCCTGCCTGCGCTAGTTTGCGCGCCTCCGCCCTGCATGTCTGCCTTCGTGCATTCGCCCCAACTCCACTAGCGACTTCACCAGCCCAGGTTTCGCCTTCCTCGCGCAAGCCATTGTCTGTGCGACCCAGCCCACCAGCCGTCCGCTCCACCTCAGGCGAGGGATTGAGTCCATGCCCCCCGCCCTTCACGTTCTCCAGCGCGGCTCAGGCTCCCACGACCACGCTCACTTCCATGGGACCTCCGCCCTCACGCCTGTGTGCCTACTATTGCCATTCCGACCCAATCGTTGCACCATTTCCTCTTTTTCTTTCTTTGCACAAGAATCTTCCTCCAACTCCATCTAACTCATACCATTTGTAGAATTTTTTTGGAGGAAGTTGAAGCTCCTTGAGCTTCTTGGAAGAGAAAGAGAGAGGGAATAATAGGAGAAAGCAATATAGAACAGAAATTTTATTGCTTATTGGCTTACCTTCTTATTACAGACTATAGCACCTATTTATAGACTCCATCGGCAACACAAAGCTACGCACAAATGAACCAAACATTCTCAAGCTATTTGTGGCTCGACTCAATTCAAATTTGCTTATGATCGTTTGATTAACTAATTGAATAAGCTTGAATTCTTTTATAAATAATCAATTGTTAATTCAAAAAGTTGTTACCCAATTTGTTTATGTACATAAATAATATTATTTAAAGCTCATGAACAAATTCTTATATATATAATTTTTTTTTCCACATCCTCCTTTTACTTTAGTATAACATTAGTTTGAAATTTTACATTGCATTGCTTAAATTATATTGTAAAAATGTGGTGGTGATCTTGACAGTGGATTGCTAAGAGTTGGTGGGTTTTGTTTGTTCAAATTTATATACGCTACAAGTTTTTTATGGCACATTTAAAAAATTTTAAAATTAAGATTTCGTTTGGGATATTTTTCGTATTATTTTATAAATCAGTTTTTTAGTATACAAATTTTTTTTAAAAAAAAATTGTACTAAATCTATTTTAAAATGCACTAAAAAAGCTATTCCAAACAAATTATATATATATTAAGCTCTTTTAAGTTTGGCACTAATAAAGCTCTTGTATTATTTTAGATGAGCTCCTTGTTTAAAGTTTAATAAGAATGAAATGAGCCGGGCTCAAATCAAGCTTGAACAAATATGAAATTAAATAAGCCAATTTCAAAAATTATTATAAAATTTTGAATTGGGCTCTAGTCAAATTTGAACAAGTGTTTTTGCAAGTGAGCTCAAGTTTGAACCACCTCTGGCTTGGCTCAGCTCAGGTCAATTCATTTACAGCATGAGCTGTCGAGTCTTTTAACCTGCCAACAAGCCCTTCCCGTGCCAATTACCAATAAAACCAAAGTAAATAAGGTGAACCTCGAATAGAAATTAAAAAAAAAAATGAGTTTTTTTTTTTTTTTAGAACAGGGGTATCGGCCCGCTGCCACGTCAGCTTGAGACCCACTTGGCGATGTCCACTAATCCCTCGGCGAGTCTACCAGCAACCAACATCAAAGATGCTTTTAAATGTTAAAGACCATATCAAATTTCCATGAGAAGTGACAACTAAAGAATGAGTTGCCTAGTTAAGTCATTTCTAACAACACACCTCGTCTTGATATGTTGGTTCAGAATTTTACATATCAATTAAAATGTCTTAAGTTTGAAACTTATATGTATGAATTTGACTTAATTGACTCATAAATTCTAAAAAAAAAAAAATCATTACCTACTATAACGCATCATACTAAATTTTTGGTCTTCTTCGTCGTCAACATCATCTTCGTGAAACCGACTTTATCCTACAAGCTGGTCATCTGAAGCTCCATGAGCTTCCTCTTCTTGCCATAGACAATCAAACCAAGAAGAAACAGAAGGGCGTAAATGACTGACTATTTTGGTAAATTTTTGTTTAATACGTCATCAAAAATCGCATTGATCTAGAACGAATCTTGAGGCATATTCAAGATGGAAACTTTATAAATTAAATTTGGGATCATCCAAGCTCTGATTTCAACGAAATTACATTCAAACTGAACGTCTTTAAGATAAAAATCCGAAGACATCGAAATCGGTCCAATCTGAGTCCAAATGGGTCAAAAACAACAAAACAAAGAGTATTTGGAAGGTTCAAATCATTAATTGGATGACCAAATGATTTCTACATATGGCATGCTCAAATCTCGCTTGGTAGGATTTGACATAAATCCTTCTAACACGTCTATCAAATGCATGTGTGTTTAGTGCATCTGCCTACCAAAGGATTGGAGGTCCGAAGTCCTGATGCTTCTAAGATTGCTTGTATAATGCAGTCGATTTTAATTTATTGGTTGGAAGTCTAAGCTTTTAATCACGAGATCCTGAATTTAAATTTATTATTTTTTAATGCTGATATATATAAAAAAAAAATGCTTGTGGGGGCAATGATTATTGTTCTTAGGATGGTTCATGGCAATGGGACATAATGAGAACCCTCCCTTTGGGAAAAAAGTTGGCTAAAAAATGTCGCAACTTTTTGTGAAGAACCTTTTTGATGATTTTGTGAAGGACCTTTTTGTTGATTGACGATCTTTTTTTTCTTATTTAATTTGTTCTAAGTTCGTTCAAGCACTTGAGCTTGTGCGAGTTTGACGCCTACAGCTTATTTTTCTCTGTTGGCTGTGTGCTATTACTTTCTATAAAATATGTATTTTTTTAATAATCTGGCAAAAAAAAAATCAAAGAAAAAATTTTCTGTTCAAGTTTATTGGTGTATTATATGTTTTTTTATTTTTGAAATTTAAGATTTCAAAATAAGTTTATTTTAGAAGTTGTATCTAATTTTGAATGGCTAATAAAGTAATTAAAAGTATTTTTTAATTAAAAACAGCAAAAAAAAATTCTTTTGATTATTTAAAAAATATAGGTCATTTAAAATTTATGATAGATTGTGAATGATTTGTGTGGATAAGAAGATTTATGCTTTCAAATAAGTTGTAATTCATTTCTTTCTCTTATACACCA